CCCCAGCTCTCTCAGCCTGTCCTTACAGGGGAGGTGCTCCAGCCCTCTGATCATCTTCATGGCCCATTTCTGGACCTGCTCCAACAGCTCAGTGTCACACACAGCCCCCAGAGCAGCAAGATGCTGTACCACACAGCAGAAGGACAGCCTCCAGCATGGAACGTTTCTGGCACTCTATGTGCTCACCAGTTCTTCTGCAATGAAGCAAGACACAAAATCCTCCTCTGTTTTAACAATAAGTCAGTGACACAAAGACAGGAAAGGCCACGGGAACATGACCAGCTCAACATCCTGGTGCAAACCCAACAGAACACGCTGTGAACGCTCACAAGGCACAACTTCCAGCAGAATGATCACAGAATCCTTAGAATTGGAAGGGACATCTAAAGGCCATCCAGTTCTACTCCCCTCCAGGGAGGGGAAACCACAGCTCCATCAGGTGCTCAGAGCCCCGTCCAGCCTGGCGGGGCTGTCCGTCCCTACCCAGGGAATCATCCAAACTCAGAAGACAGAACAAACCTACACTAAGGAATCCTAGAAAGGAGCTTTCCACTCACTGACCTACCAATAGACTCTCATGTACGCAGAAGACATCTCAATGCAATAACATTTATGTAGTCATTCAGAATGTGCACAGACACACATGCACTGCGTAGTTTAAAGACCCAGAGAAAGCCATCACCGCTTGGCTGTGCCATAGACCTCAGGATAGAAATATCAGCAGCCAAGGACAGGGGCTGCTTCCCACCCCTGCAGCACGGTTGAGCATTTGTGGCTTTAAGCTCTTAATGTTGATTAAAACATCAAGTGATTTTACCAAACCTGCCACAAAATGTTGGAGAAAAAAGAAACGTGATCTGTTATGCATTCAATAAGGCTACGAGCACAGTTTAATCTGCAGAATTTCTCCTTCTCCTCACATTATATTCCCACTCAGCAACCTGGACTACAGGCAGACGTCCCTGCCTGTAGCAGGGGGCTGGAACGAGGTGATCTTAAAGGTCTCTTCCAACCCAAACCATTCTAGCATTCTGTGATTCCAGTTCACTCCCTGTTGCAATGTTTTTTAGCTGGCTGGCTGTGAGCTTAGCAGCACTGTGGCCTTTCTTCCCGAGTACCCAAATCCTCAATAAAATCCCCACTTCTTCCTTGCAATTTACTGCCAAGGAGCAAGCAGAAAGAACAACAACACAGAAAAGCAACTTACGGTCACAACATGGGGACAAACCTTTACAGCTTCTCACCTCTCCTTGGCGTACCAGCCACAACCCTCTGCTCTTTGTAGAAGACAGATGTTCGCTCAGCTCAGGGCAGCACCACGAAGCAGTGGCTGTGTTTAACAGGTCGCATCCGCGAGGCAGCAACACCACCCCTCTACTATCAGGCATGCAGCACTTTGCCCATAACGTGCACCTGATAAATGGCTTCCAATGCACACGGTCTGCGTTCCTCTTCTTCACTTCCACTATCTCCAAGGAGCCTGTGGTGATGGTTGTTTACCAGCACTGCTAAAACTGACTGCTTCCAACTGTGTTCATCAGCTGCCACCAGCAGTGCTGCTTTGGATTGCCACCATTTGCACAATGAAGGACAGCCTTCCCCAGAGCTGCTAGCGCGCCCAAACCCTGAGTAGTAGGTTTAAATAATTATCAGCACCATCATCAAGGCTTGAAAAATACATGTTGGTAACAAAACAAAGAAGAAAAAATGAAACCTGATTGTGAATCAAGGAAACAAACAACACTGCACCTCCACCTTCTTTTGGAAGGCTCTGACAGCTATAACAAAACAGACAGCTGAACACAAATCACACGTTGCTGAAGTGAGAGGACTACCAGCATCGATCTCCTCACCCTTCCCATCACCAGTCTGCACTGCTTTCCTGCTGAAGAGCGGTGTTTCTTTGCTCCTTCAGTGCTGACTTCTCTGTCACCAGTCCCTTCTGTACTCCTTCACAGCCCCATATCCCCTCAATGGCATTCACACTCCTTCTTCTGTCCTCCCATCACCCTTCCATACACTCATACCCACAACACTGTGCCAGAAAAACCAAACATTTAACCACTAACCAATGGCTGTAGGCTAAGCAGAAAGCACTGGGATGAGCAAGGCTCTATGGAGGGATGCAGGGCTCACACTGAGTGGCCAAACCGATTGCACCACACCTGAGTCTGAAACAAGACTGAAATCCACAGCTCCTGGCTGCCACAAGGACAGCTCTGCTGCACGCTTGCTGCTCTCACCACCACGCAGACCTCAGAGCTGAGATGCAATTCTTAACTGAGCTGATTTCTGCTAATTGCTCTCCTGTCCAAAGTTAACCAATGAAAACTGTAACAATTACAATTTTAATTAGAAACACAGGAAAAGAAACCCTCAAGCCAAGCCCTGTAGCTGCCTGGACAGACTGGAGCAGCTCTGCCTGCCAGGTGAGCGATCCCATGCAGCAGCCATGCCAGGAGCCCCAGTTTCTGACAGACAAATGTTAAAATCAAGAAGCCTGATACTCACAGTACCAACAGGTTACTGAGCCTCAGTGCTTTGAATGACTGCATTTTACTTTTCCTCTGTCCCCACGGCACCGAAGCACTCCAGCACTAACCAGAGCTGAGCTGCTGCTGGCTCTAAACAATCTAGCTTCCACACGGAAAGGTTCTCCACCGCTTCTTTCCTGCTATTGTTAAAAACCGAAAGCTTCCCCACCAGGAAAGTCCTCTCCTTCGTAATCTGCTTGGAAATAGAACCAGCTTCATCCTGTCTTGCTGAGCACAGACAGTTCCCGCCCCAACACAAAGAACGCCCACCACCCCCAGCTGTGCCCCCAGGCCCCACACACCGCACACCTACCCTTGGGCCCTGGCCGCCGTGCCTGCCCGGCCCTGCCGCCGCCAGTACAGCCCTGAGGCTGCCGGGCCCTGCAGGCGCAGGCCAGCCATGGCACCCCATGGCAGAGCAGGGAGGTGGTCAGGGAGCCCTGGCAGGACATCCAGTGAGTCACCTTCCTGAGGGGAGTTCCCTTGGCGTTCCAGGAGAGCTCCAGCAGGATGCAGGCAGTTCTGCTCCAGCGCTGTTCCTCATGCTTTGCCTGCCATTCTGCTGCAGCCCTGAAGACTGGAGAAACTCTCTCCTGCATCCCACTGCTAATTAATCACCTGCTGAAGGCAGCACACTTGGAGGTCATAGCAGCAATTAGTGCTCAGCCAGACTTGATGATGGAGCCATGTTAAGTCCCAAGCCTTCATGTTATCAGTGCATGCCACTGAAGGAGACTCTCAGATCAAAGCAACAGAACACTGCTGATCCAACCTCACACAGCATCTCACCCAGCTCTCAGGTGGACAGGTGCCCCATGGCTGCTGCACCCCACAGCACTGCTTTCCACATGGGTGAGGCACACACCGGGGCACCAAGCACAGCACTGCCTGCAGAGCAGCAGCTGAGGAGGGCTTGGGGCAGGCAGCACTGCACAACCCTGCTGGGGAGCTGAGCAGGGCCCATGCAACACTGAAAAGAATTGAAGTACTGAGAATAGAGAAGGCAGTGTTTAAGAGAACAAAAGGAGTGGAGGGCGATGGATGTGGCTGAGTCAGTGTTATCTGATCAGCATCACCATGAAAACCACTTTGTGTTTTATTATCATTTTCTTATTATTCTCTTGTAAATAATTTAAAAAGGATTTTTGTAGCATCATAGTGAAATATGTTCCATTGGTAAGCTGTAGGAGGAAATAAGCAAGAGAAGTGACGATTTCACAAGTATTAGGCGAGTGTTAACCAGCAGAGATCCTCCATGTCCACCAAGCAAAAGCAAGAGGGCTGCCTTGGACCCAGAACAGGCAGAGAGGGGAACGTCATCATCCCACAATCAGAACTGAGTAACCCACAATCTCCAACTCAACCTGCACTTTGTTGTCCTTCAGGCCCCTGACCTCCAAAGCAATCTGCAGTTCTTCAGACTGCGTTTCATAGAATCACAGAACGGCCTGGGTTGCAAAGGAGCACAGTGCTCATCCAGTTCCAACCCCCTGCTGTGTGCAGGTCACCAACCAGCAGCCCAGGCTGCCCAGAGCCACATCCAGCCTGGCCTTGAATGCCTGCAGGGATGGGGCATCCACAGCCTCCTTGGGCAACCTGTTCCACTGCATCACCACCCTCTGGCTGAAAAACTTCCTCCTCATATCCAACCTAAACCTCCCTGTCTCAGTTTACAACGACTCCCCTTGTCCCTCACAAACAGCCGTTCCAACCCGTTTATACACTCCCTTCAAGTACTGGAAGGCCACAATGAGGTCTCCCCACAGCCTTCTCTTCTCCAAGCATTTGTACTTGACTCACCTCTGCTTTACAGAGCAGAGAAATAAAGGGAATAAAGAATGAAAATGAAGATGAGACAGAAGAATGAAAATATCCTTCAAGTTGCGTGGCTTTGCAGACCTTTTAAATTTTACAGTGATAAGCACCTTTAATGCACTATGACATCACTTCTTTTAATATCAAGCAAACCATCGAAGCACAGCAGCACCTCCCATCAGCAGCCTGGCAGGGCTCTCCTCCCTCCAGCACCTCAGCTTTTACCCTCCCGGCCGCTTCACCGCTTTAAGTATCCATACTGATTTCTAAAGGCAATCTAATGCAGGTCGGGCACATTTTATCTTTACGTTTTGTTCTCGTCCACGCTGAGGAGCCGCCCTCCCGGCCCTTCCCACACGGGGTGCGGCCCTGCAGGACCTCCCGCCTTACCTGCCCGTCATGGCGGCGCGCCGAGGGGCTGCGGGGCTGCGGGACGGGACGGGACGGGCGGTTCCGCGCGGCGCTCCGGCAGCACCAGGCACGGCACGGCACAGCGCGGGGCCCCCGGGCGCGGGCGGGAGCCGCAGCCCCCGGTGACTCAGGGCAGCCCCCCCCGTGCCCCGCGCATACTTTTCCTATAAAGGGAAAGAAGCGGCGAGGAACGCGGCGGCGGAGTCCGGCCCGCCCCTTGCCCTGACCCCGGCCCCGCGGAGCTTCGCGGCGGAGCTGAAGGCGGAGCTTCGGGCCGGCGTCGCCTTCCTCAGCCCGGCGGGGAGAGCGAGGGCTGCTCCGAAAGTAATGCCTCCTACGTTACGGCGTCGGCCCGCCGTCGGGATGTCGGCGGTGGGACCACAGCAGGGGCTGAGCCCGCCCGTATCCCGCTACGCGCTGCGGCCGGGGGACGGACGGGGCGGTCTGATGTGGAATGCGGATGGAACGAAGGGCCGGGACTGAATTCCTCCGCGTGGGAACAGTGGCACACAGCGACATTCGACAACGCTCGCTGAACGCCGACGGACACCGAACGGCGCGGGACCTCAGGGCGGACCCGCGGCGCTTCGCCCGCAGCCCCGCCCCGCCCCCTCTGGGCCGCACTGCGCAGGCGCGTTGCCCCGGCCGCGCCCGCCGACCCGGAAGCAGCCGGCGGCAAGATGGCGGCGTAGCGCCCGCGTGCCGTTGGGGCCCCGCCATGGCGGACCTGGGCCGGCAGCTGCACGAGTACCTCGCCCAATCCAAGGCCGCCCCCGCCCCGCCGCCCGCCGGCGGCCCGCAAGAGGAGCCGGAGGGGGAAGGCTCGGGAGCGTGGCCGAGCGCCTTCCCTGGCTGGCGCTGGCCGTGGGCGGCCGAGGCGGACCCGTGGCTGCCGGGGCTGTCGCCGTGGCAGCGGCTGGCGGGCGCCGCGCTGTGCCTTCTGCTGGCCGCCCTCTGCTTCGGGCTGGCCGCGCTGTACGCGCCGCTGCTTCTGCTCCGCGCCCGCAAGTTCGCGCTGCTCTGGTCGCTGGGCTCGCTGTGCGCGCTGCTCGCCGCCGCGCTGCTGCGCGGTCCGTCCCGCCTGCTGCGGGAGCCGAGCCGCGGCTCGCTGCTGTACGCGGCGGCGCTGGGCGGCACGCTGTACGCCGCGCTGGGGCTGCGCAGCACCGCGCTGACCGCGCTGGGCGCCGCCGCGCAGCTGGGCGCCGCCGCCTCCGCGTTGCTGGGCGCGCTGCCCGGAGGGGCCGCCGGCGCCCGGCGTGTCGGAGGGCTCCTGGTGACCGCGCTGCGCCGCGGGGCCGCGCTACCCGTGTGATGTACGGGAGGAGCGTCCCGCCGGGCTTCCTCGCGAGAAGGCGGCGCGGAACGGCGGCGATTCCGAACTCAAGCGCGGGACAGCGCCCGGCCCCGCCGCGTCTGGAGCCGAGGAAGAGCGACTGCCCGGCGCCGGAGCGGAGACGGCGGTGGTGCGGGGCGAAGAGCGCCGAGCGGCCCGGTTCCCCGCGCCCGGTGCCGCCTCGGTGCCGGGAGCCTTAGCGAGCGCCGTGCGCTCTTCCTGCACAGAAACCGCTTATAATTGGCATCCAGTAAGTGAAACAGGCTGCGGGGCTGTGGGTCGGCAGGCCTGTGCTCGGGTAGGGCAGGACCGTGCGATGTGCTGTCCTGCTTCCAGGAGCCGCGGAACGGCACGGCGTGCCCCTCGGCGAGCTCTGCTGCGGAGCGGGCTGCTCGGCTCTGCCTTGGGGCTGACCGCCCTCCAGCGCCTCGGACGGAGCCGGCCCAGCTCTCAGATTTGCCTCAAATCACTGCTTAGGGATACAGCGGGAATTGTCAAACGGGGGTGCTTACATGTACGTAGACAGCTTTAATAATAAAACGACTATTTGTGTACCAAACGTCAGCGTAGATCTTCAACCACCGGTCACTTCTTTCCTTGAGCTGTAGACTGAGATAACGTTAAGTAGGTCTGTCCTTTTGATAACTGCTAAGCTACGGTGTGCAATTTGTAGCAGTGGAATTGGAAGAGATGGCAGGGAGAGGCTGTGAGCAGGCACAGCACAGCCAGGCTGCGTGCGGTGGTCAGAGCTGTGCCTGCACCCTGCTTTCAGCAGTAGGGCTGTGGTTGCACCCATTGGGTTCCCTCTGTGTCTCCTGCTGTCTGTGGCTGTGGGATTCTATCTGAAAGTTAGCTCATTGCCCTGTTTCTGTATGACTTTCATGTTCCACAACAGTGGAATGTTTCAAATCTTAGTTTGAAAAGCTGCCATGATGAATTTTAGCAAGTACAATAGTGGGGCTAGCCAAGCAGCAGGGGAAAAAGAAGCATTTTCCCTCGTGTCCAGGTGCAGAATGCTGGGTTCCCTGCTGTTAGGTGCGCTCCAGTTTGCTTTGGTAGAGGACTGTTGGGTATTAAGGGCCAAGACCTCTAAATTAGATACTTGAAATACTACAAAGAAGTCGCTTTCAGTCCCATTAAAAAAAAATAAAATACACAGGGCTTGTATTATTAAAAAAAAAAAAAAAAAGGAAAAAAAAAAAAGCCAACTCTGTATTTTCCCTTCAGCACTGATTAAATCTTCAGTGTTAAAATTTAAAGAGATCCCTGAGGTGCACCCAGCACGGCCCTTCTGCAAGTAGAGCAAAAGGGATCCCTTTGTGCTCCCCAAAGGTGAACCTGCTCCCTCCAAGGTGCCCTCAGCTCCTTCCCAGCCACCACCTTTCAGATCATGCTATAGCCAGAAGACAAGGATGCTGTAGGCTAATGAGCACCCTTAATTGCTATGATTTTTAATGCAATTTTGTAGGCTACAAATTAAAAACTGTAAAATGTTACTTGTGACCAAGAGAGCAGCCACTAAGCACCTCTGCTCTGATCTCTTAAATAAGATGGATGAGGATAGAGTAGGTCAGTCTTTAAAAGAGATGTGACTGTATCAGAAGTCGGATAAAGTAGCTGCTGTGCATTGCTGTGCTGTGCAGTAGTTTTGCCAGCTGTAGAATTACACTGCTGTATGACTGTGACTATTCTAACAGCTTGAAGCTAAAAGAAGGGGGATTTAGAGTAGACGTTAGGAGGGCAGTGAGGCACTGCTGCCCTCAGCTGTGTGGGTGCCCCATGCACGGAGGTGCCCAAGGCCATCAGTGGGGCCCTGGGCAGTCAGAGCTGGTGGGGGCAGCCAGCCCAGCACAGGGGTAGGACTGGGTGGGCTCTAAGGTCCCTTCCAACCCAAACCACTTCATGATTCTACAAATTTCCAGTGGGTAGAAAAACAGCCTGGTGGTGATAGTTTTCATGATAGTTTGTTGTATAGTTTTAATTGAGGACCTTCCTGAGAGCTGGCTTTTGAGTACGTATAAACTTCTGTACGAACTTTTCATTCAGGCTTAAGCCATTAATGAGCCCTGTGGTAGCCTGGTGACTGGAGATGATTGATGTGAATGATTTTTTATGGGGACATTGGATACTTGTGATTGCTAAGCAACAAAAATGTGGGAAATATAAATAACCTCTGCTCATCCCTCTCCTGTGGGAAAACCAAAGAACAGTACCCTAAAGATGTTCAGAAACATTAAGATGACAGCCAGAAACCACTGAGTTCTGCACTTCAGCAGACCAGATGCTGCTGGACACCCATATCTGTATGGGTATCCTACAGCCACTGTAAAACGTTTGCTTCCATATGAATCAAATTGCTAAACTTCCCTTTCCTCTTCAATTTCTTTAAGTGCTGTTGTGAACAGAAGTATCTGACTCCTGCAGCTGAAGCACAGAATGACAGTGCTCGTTATGCTGTCTAGTTTGCTAGCAGTCCAGGTTATAGATGCACTATGTGTATGACAGCTTTTTCTAAATGGTGTTCCCTGTTTTTCTCTTTCAGGATGGCAGACCAGCAAGCAGCAGTGACTTCCTGTGCTCTGGAGTTTTAATGTCAGCACCTCTGGTTATTTATAGACAGCTGAGACTGCAGGCAAAAGAGTTCTCTATAGACGATAAACCAAAAATGAGGCATAAGCTGTTAGTACTGCCCACAGATGAGACTTCAGGAGGTAGTTTGTTGCTCCATCTGATACACAAGTTTGTTAAGAAACAGCACTTTATAGGAATAGGTGAGTAAAGAACTACACACGCTTTTTTTTGGTTAGTTTTTGCGCAAATTACATTCTGTATTCATACAAAAAACAACATAACTCTTCTGACAAACTGTACATATAGAAACAAGTTTCTGTTTGGAATTGAACTGAAATCTGTGGAGGTGCTCCATGTCTCAACACTAAAAAAAATTCCAGCTCTTCACAAAACAAAGTAGGTAAAGGAAGGTGGGGAAAATGGGGGCAGAGAAGACAAAACCGAAAGCTAGCTACAGTACCGCAGCTAGTAGCAGTTGACTGATCTAGGAGAAGACCCTTGTTAGGAACTAATGCACATTCAGTTATCCCAGTTAAGAATCCAGACTTGCGTTCTTGCAGGGTTACTTTCTCTTTGAGTACAGAGTAGCAGTCCATTTAAATATTGTCCATCAGGGACTGGGTGCGACCCAGTCAAAGCCTCTTCTATCGGCCTCTTCCGCCACCCCTGGATGCTCCTCTTCGTGACTGACCAGAATTCATGTTATTTCCTCTTCCCCAATTGCTTCCGCTCCTTCCTCCTCTGGAAGGGTTGCTGCCTCCTGCAGGGCCTCCGCCAAAAGCTTCATCCCTGTGGAATCCATCGTGATGGTCTCCATCTAAAGAATTAGACCGTGCCGATTTTGGTGCTCTCTGGGAAGCTCCTGAATTTCCACGTCCTAAAAATGAAGCACAACGTTACTGATGTTGAAATCTAAGCCGTGCTTCTTCTCAGACATACCACGCCTTTCAGCTAGTTCTCTCACATTCTCTAACTGAATGTTCTTGAGACCTATGATTTTATGCCTCCTCCCTCTGTTTTTTATTACACAGGTTCCATATCTCCATGGCAGCCCAGAAGATTGACAGTAATCAGGCAATCCCTTGGGGATTAAAGGAGATTATGTCTCATACAGTCAGCGAGGACTTACTTAAGTCAGGTCCCTCTAAAGTGCCAGCCATACACGATCTCATCCCTTACAGCTATCTGCAGTTCTTTGTATACTTTTATTGCAGAACACAACAAAACCAAGAGAACCGGATAAAGGAATGGTTAAACCACATCTGCCATGGCGTGTGCAATTCTTAGTCACCCCAGTCACAAAATGATAAGTTAAAACTGAAGCGAGTATAGACGTGGTAAGAAGGGCAGTAAAGGATACAGAATGCATTCCAGAGACAGCACACGAATGGGTGAGAGCTCTGGCATAGAGAAGAGCCAGCTGAGGATGGAAGTTTATGCAGCCAGAAGTGGCATTCAGAAATACCAACTAAAATACAAGCCATCACTGAATGGAAGTAGTGAATGATGGGCTTAAGAAGACAAAAGCTTTTTATTTTTTCCAATTAAGCTTTAGAGCTCTGTCTGTGGATGTCACAGGTTCCAGCGATTCTTAAAGCTGGATAAGACTTCTGTTGAAAAACACACCAGTGTTGCACGAGGTTTTCAATACGAGGGGCTTATCTACCTTTTCCCCTCTCCTCTGGAGGTCCACCTGGAGCATCCATTTCCCTGGGGTCAGAGGTCCCTGGTCCATCGTGCCAGGGACGTTTACGTGGTGGCAGTGAGGCCATGTCCATGCCCTGGAGCGAAGAAGAACGTTCTCGGTTAGCTGGAGAATGTCCATCATGAGGAGGGTGGTCTGGACGAGGACCTGATGGTGAGGAGAAAAAGCAGGATCATTAGATAACGTCCATCTGATCGTTACGCCTCGTTTTCAGAAAGCAGTCACATACAAATTTACTTTCCATGCAATTTGGAATACAATTTTAAGTTATGTAAAGCTTCCCCACCACTAGAACATGCAAATAAGCCAACATTAGATGAACAAGCTGCAAGTAAGCTGAAGGTAAAGCAGGTTTAGAAGATGCTGAAGAAGGAGGAAGTGGCAGATCTCAAGCTTTCTTTTCAGCATAAGGATTTTCACGTATTTTAGAGATGGCCACACGTTCATCTTTCATTATTCATGTGTCATTTGTGCTTGTGTTCTAAAATTCAGTTTTGAACCTATGTGGTTCCTATATAACCTATAGGACCTATAATTATACACAAAGATGACCATTGGCATTAATAGATACCTCGAAAAGCTGTATGTTATGCTGCATTCATCAGCACGGGACACCAACGTGCTCCTCTGGACTGCATATAAAATCTCACCTTAAATCAGGGTAATAAATTCATTTATTATTCTGTGGAACTGCAGCATTTACAGCTAGCTACATTCCAGGCAGTTCATTTATCTCTATATTTATAAGTCCAGAAACCTACACGGTGCATCTCTGGTGATGAAAGACTGAGCACACGAAGCACAGAGAAAAGTAGCGACGTTAATTCATTTTATAGCAGTTACACTGCAGACATTGATTATCTGAAGCAGACCTCAGCTATTTCTTTACCTGGTTCTCTGTTTCCATCCCAGGATTCTGGCTTCCGCCCACCTTCAAAGCGTGGAATTTCATCGGGGGTAGGAAGCAGACCCTTCCGGCCTCCTGAGCAGCACGAGATGCAGGGAGAGGAGTGAGAAGAGACAATTGCATTTGTGAAACTGTTGCCGTTTGCCCAAGAAACACACTTGCTACCTTCTCCTTGTATTTCACTGTGGAAGAATGTTCCCCTCACCTCTAATTGCACCACGACCTCGGCCCCGAGCACCATGGTCCCTTCCTCTCAAGTTTTCATCTGGGGAGTCAAAAGTGTCATCTGGCCCAAAATCTTCCGGACCAGGAAAGCCATCTCTCCCCCTGGGTCCCCGGCCCTCGTGTCTCGAGGGTCCTCCTCTTCTGAAGCTACAAGAAAGAACACGGTACACCTTTAGACAAGGTTTACATTGATAAACTTGAGACAGTTGGTTATTAAGCTGTTTTCTGAACCGTTTCACATAACACTACAGTACATACAGCTATCAGAACAGGATTTGTGGGTGGAAAAGTGCTCAATGTCTGTCTCTGAGCGCTTTGTTTAGCTATTTTGTATAGTTTTTCCTCACTTCTTTCTGTTGTGTTGGTTTTGGTTTTTTTTTCCATACAGAAAATACTGTCAAGTATATTTGCATTCATTTAACAAGGAAAAAAAAAAAATAAAAACAGTGAGATAGATATAAGGCAAGGCAAGGAGAAGGACAAGTGAATTTCTCTTAGCTGCAGTGCTCTTGCTTTAAGGGATTACAAACGAAGCAGGAAAAATAAAAGCAGTGAGAGTCAAGGCTGTAGTGAAACATTTCAGCATCACATTCCTATGGATTCTGGAGTCTCTTGCTAGAACATTCTCTTACTCAGTCCCTCCACAGAGGATTTTTTATTCTTTTTTTCTTTTTTCTTTTTAAGTTTACAATGTTGAGAAACGATTCTAGGCTGCACTTGGCTCAGCAGGGATGATGACTGCTGAGCAGTGTGCACGGTGGCTTTCTACAACCTCACCAGCAGCTTATCCATCTGCAGTAAACGAAGAGCTCTGTTCTGCAAAACGTAGCAGTGCCCCTCACGTCAGTAATTTCTACTCCTAGTCAGCACCATGGCATCTTCAGTAACTGGATGCGATTGGCTTTTGCATCTCATCTGAACTGAGTACAGCTCCTCCAGTATCACACTGGGGTCTTAACACAGATCTTCAGAGGGAAGAACGCTTCTGTCTTAGCTGTCAGTGCCATTGCAGGTAAGCCTGTAGATGGCTGCACAAACGCTAGCAGTTCTGTTTCTTACAGCACCAACTTGGAGTGCTTGGCAAAGCCCATAAATGCCCCGTGCATCACTGCGGCTCCGTGAGCACCCACTGCTACAACTGCCTCTGCTTACAGCCCGACCCGGGCAATTTGTGTGCGAGCACCAGGGGACGTTAGGTGGTGCAGGCACACTGCTTTGGGATCCTGCCCCCCCTCAGCGCCAGCAGTGACAGTGCAGCTCTGTCTGCCCATGCACACTGATGCCCCCCCACCTCCCCTCTTCTCCCACTTCCACACTGGGCAAACTGCGGGCGCCGCAATGCTCCGAGCCTTGGCTTTGTGCACGTCCCCTTCCCCGGCTCATTAACGACACAGTGCACCCTATTACAAGCAAAACTTTAGATACTTTTATTTAGAATTTTAACAACATTAACCTTTTAATTACAAATTTAAATATTTTAACAGTAGTCATAACACAATACAATATTATTTTTTTCTTTTTAACTTTTACATTTTTTTTCTTTTTTTTTAAATTAAAAACAATAGGTCTGTCTCCATCTCCCAGAAAACAAACACAATACAGAGAGGAGGCTGCTGTGCCTGTACAGGTACAACAGTGGATGGAGGGAGTGCTGCATATGGACAGTGAACCATTTCACATTAACCTGGGTGATTTGTGAAAACAAACTCAGCAGTTTCAGGTACAAATGGTTCAAATAACCACATCGCAATGTTGTTTAGCCTTGAGACAGCACAGTCCTCTAGATATATTCCTTAGAGGGTCTCCCATTTTAATACTGACTTGGTGAGATTCTGCTTAGTTTGTAAATTACCAAGATTCGCAACACAAGATCCTACGGCTACCAGGAGGAGGACCCTTCTCTGTGTTTCCAGGCAACCTTACGGACAAAGTTTAGCTTTGAAATCTATCACACCTATGCCTGATACAGCCATGGCTCCTAATATTGGCTTATGTATATCCTTTTTCACTTTTTCTCATCAGTCACACGTAAAACCCTGCCTCGCATAGGGCTCAGTTCCTGTTTGACTGCTCTCATCTTCTTCCTTGAGGCCTAGGACCTTAACGTACAGAACTACACACTGTGCAGATTAGCAGCAGGAAGAGGCAGGTCTCTGCAGTAGAAGCATCATGTTGATATGCACAGGTAGAGTGAGAACAGGACAGAGATGAAAAGGATGGGAAATTAGAGAGAAACACACATACACACACTTCCCTCTCACGTTTTTGACCAAACCAGTTACAATCTAAATTCCAAACCAAGTCAGCTAAACGAGCAGTCGGGATTCTTAGGCTCACTTCAGCATCAGCATGGCAACCAATTCACCTTCACTCAGAGGAAATCACTAAGTGCAAGCACTGCGAGCCTTTCAGAGCCCTGTGATGATTCTTCTCCAGCTAACCGCTCTGTACAAACACTTGCACTGTGACAGACCCTCGTTAGCTCAGAAGTCAGATTCCCAGGTCCTGAGATGCCTGGACTACCCTCCTAAAACCTCTGTAAAACCAGGATAAGAATAAAATATTCCCCAATCCCTAAACATTCCCAATATAAGATCTGAAAAATCTCTACTGAGCTTCTAAAATCATTGTCTGCTACGTCTTTCAGAGTTATGGAAGGCAGACTATTCCACTCGGATTCTCTCTTTTAAACGGCTTTGTTACCTTCTTTTTGTTCATTTCCTTTCATACTCTTCACACAAAAGGAAGGTACATCTTTACAGAGCTAGGTAGAAAATAGCTAAAAGAAGAGCTGTACAGATGCAAAGTAAAAGGAATGTAAGAAAATGATTAAAAGGCAACTAAAACACACAAAATTCACATTATGTGGAGACCACAATATATTCGTACAAGTACACATTTTTATACATATGGAGTTGGTGGTCAGTGAGAGGTTTAGACCTTGGAGGCCAAATTTAACTCTGTTAAGCTAGCATAAATCTGGAGCAATTTCAGTGACAGGCCGTCTTGCCAACTTTGAGCAATTCCTCCATGTTTACATTAATAACTAGAAGCAAAGTCATCCCTTTGTGATTGATCTGGAAATTGTGAGCAATGAAGAGGACATTGCTATAAACTAGATTATTTTTGAGTTCTTTGCTTGGCATTAAGAAATAAGCCAGAAAAAGAAATAAAATTCCTACAAGCAAAAACATGAGAAAATAGTCTCGACAGTCCAACAGGCTGCAGAGCTCTGCCCCTTATATTTGATAGTAGCATCACTGTTCCTGCTCCTCACAAGTATCTCACAGCTCGTTCTACAGTCTCCACAGTCATCCTGCAGTTTGTGACTGGAGACAGAGTCTCAAATTCCACTTCTAGTGTTCAAAAGTTTGCCACTTTAACCTTCGAGTTTCCTCTCAATTTTCGTCAAAACGATCTCAAATCTTCATCCTGTGTCACTGGATCTTCTCTACAAATTTCCTCCCTTCTCTTTACTTACTGTTTACAGACACGGAAGCTGCTGTGTACAATGACCATTTTTCAAGTTTTCTTCTATTACTGAATGATTTTATGGACTCTATACTCAGGTATATTAGAGTTTTCATTTCCTTATTGGTTTCCAGTTTATAAATCTGAAACAGATAGACTCCTTAATGACAAGGAAACCAGGAAGAAAGAATTCCCTCCGTTCACCCTTTACCCAAGAAGAACGAATCGATTTATTCTTACCTCTCGTCTCGTCTTCCTCGGAACCGTGCATCCTCAGGATCCCGTGGATATCTATCATCTGAAGGTCTCCGTCCTTCCCAAGCACCAGGAGGGCCACGATTTGAACCCCCGCCTTCAAATTCCCTGTGATCGGGAGGAAAGGGAGGCCCAGGTCCACCTCGTCTCCATTTCTCATCTTGCAATGGTGGGCCTCCTCTCCCCTCAAATTCCCGCAATCGATGGCCAAATCTCTTATCTGGATGGAAGTCGTCCCGGAAGTCATCTGGTCGATCAAAGTCATCATGGAAATCTGGGTGAGGTCCTCGTCTATCTGGCATGCCCCTGCTGTCTCTACCATCACCCCACTCCTGGCCACCTCGAAACAACCCTCTCTCAGGCCCATGATCAGGGCCACCACTGTTCTGGTCGTGCCTTCTATCTGAGAGAGGGCCCATGTGGTGGTTTGGTGGACCACGGGAGTCACCTTGAGGGAAAAAACCATAGCAGATTTCTGTAATTTTTCCTAAAAAATGCTCTAGGACGTTTTAGTTTCTACAGTTCTACAAAGCATACACCATACATTTCACATTAAGGAATTCTGGGGGAAAAGCTTTTCTTCTGTATTCCAGCCCAAGTCTACTGTAGCTTCCCTCTCAATCCGGACCCTTCGTTGTGCTGTAGCCTTTTCTATCTAGAGGGTCTGCACTGGAACAGCATCTTTTTGGAGAACTACTCACAGAAGAACGGACAGTGCATTTAATTACCTTTATTAAGGCCAGGTCCTTGGTTGTGGGGGCCAAGACGACCTTGTCCTCCCTGCTGCCCCAGTCCTGGTATCAGTGGTGGAGGACCTGGGTTCTGTCCGTCCTGTTAGTGTACGGTAAGAAAAGCCATCTGAATTAGCATGCGTGAGTATTCTTGCTTCTGAGCCTTTTGTAAGGCAGCAAACCAAATTCCTTTATTGGAACAGTGCATCTTCACAGACCTTATGACAGCAGCAGCTGATTTTCAATTGGTTTCAGCCTGATTTTTTTCACATTCACATCAGTGACGCTTTTGTTTCCTGAGGATCATACACAATTATCTAGAAAACTTATGACTAATCTTTTATCCATAACAACCAAAAGATAATAAAGCTCCTGTTTTCTATGCCTGTTAGAGAAGGCGAGAGAACTGCATGCATCTGCTGGAAAAGCACCAGGTGCTGATGTGTATGCTGCAGATACAGACCCAGGAGGGATCGCAGCAGGTACCAGGTTACCCCATGCCTCCTCTGACCATGTGGGTTTTTTTCATACTCTGTACCTACTTTCTGTGAAAGACCATCTTTTATTATTAATTATTTTAGAGAGAGGGTCGAGGAGCAACACTGAGAGTTCATTTGTGCAGTTTTTCTGTTGCATCTTGAAATACTGGTTTTAAATTATACTTTTGTATTGAACTGCAATGGAGGTAATAATCACAAAAATACACATAAACAGGTGCTACAAACAGCACCTTTGCACTGAATGTTTTTGTAAAATTTTTGGGAAAATAAAAGCAGAATAGAAGGCCTGGTTCCAATGTTTGTTACAGGAGAAAAAAGCACGAACCTCTTTGAGTGGTTGAATGGTGAGCGGAGTCAGAAGAATAGCTCCCTGTCCAGGAAGGACAAAGCTGTCACCATCCCTGAACAAAGCCTTGCTGGAGCTCCACCACTTCTCATGTATTTAATGCAAGATTACTTACAATAAACTGTTGAACTTCTTAAGTTTATGTCACTGCTGTTCAACCAGAGCAGCAGCTCTTAGTGCCCACCTCATGAGGTCAATCACTGTTTGCCAAAGCCCTCTATTTCCAAACAAATACTTCGACAAGTTAGGAAGACAGAGCCATCATAGTGCATTTTTATATGCCTTTCATTTCAAAATACACCATGGGCCCAAATGGGCTCCTAGCAGACAGAGTGAACACAGAGCACAGGAGGAGGCACTGCGCTGAGCACTGCAGGCAGCCCTGTGCATCCCACAGCTGGAGGCGGGCAGAGCTGTGCTGTGGCACCAGGCAGAGCAGCAGGGCTGGCTTTGCTGGCCCACACGCAAAGGGCACAGCCACCTTACAACTGCCATCTGTTTTCACTGCAGCTGGAGGGGAAGAATTCCTCATACCAATCCATTCCGTCTGAGCCACTGCAAGCTCCAAGAGTTTGCCTCTACATGGAAAGAGACTTGGTCTAAAGCACTCATGCCAAGAAATGAGATGAAATCCAGCCTACCCAAAAGATTAGGTGTTGTAAATCAACAACTCTCAATCACCACTTCAGCCCCAAGATACCACTGCTAACTTGGGAATACTTTATCTACCCGTCTGCACTTTAACATCAATATTCCTATCTTCAGAATACAGTTTTGCTGATCACATTGTATTTTGGTCCCTTTCTTTCTCAAACAGGTTTGTGTTTTGTTCCCCATCTGCAGAAGGGAGCAGCTCTCCCACTTGGGAAGAGATGGGCATCTCCCGCACGTAGCTCTTCAGTGAGCAGTGGGTGAAGGTAACAGTGCCATCTCCTACAGACATGATCCTCTAAAATAGGCACACAGGTTCAGTATTGATTTCACAAGCCCTTAATGAAGGAAACAAACTTCTGCTTCTAAAAAGGCAGGCAAGCCATTTCTACAAATGTACAGAAGGTAAACACTAAATTCAGGACTAAAACAGTCAAAGCCTGTTGTTAAAAAAGCAAAGACAGGAGTTACCCTTCTGCTCATCTTACAGAGAAGCCAACAGGACCAAAAATGGAAAGGAACACTATGGAAAGGAACACTACGAACTGCACAATCTGCCCATTTTCTCAATACATCAGCCTTCTAAAGCTAGACAAGGAAGGAAAAATAGCCAAAAGTACCCAGCTTTGTTACGTGTCTTTTTAATATTTCTAAAAGACTCGAAGGTAGCAGCATTTATGGAGCACAACATCTGCCTGCTGCAACCTCCTGCATCCTGCCAACAGCAGGCTCCAGCAAGTGCATGCCAGCTTGGTGGCAGCAGTTTAGGTAGAGCAGTTGGTCTCCTTAGGATAACCACAAAAACACGACGTTGGTAGAAATGAGATGAGCAACAGCTGTGGAGCCAGTTCCTGTCCTCTTCATTTTAATGATTCTGAAATCTCAGCAATAAGGTCACATTTATGGACTTCTGCAGGAAGTTATTGCTGACTTGTAAGAAAAAAAACACCACACCAATACACAATTTGTAGGCTGTTCTGTCTCAATCTGAAGCGCAGCCAGTGAGATTTAGTTCAAAGTCATCACACGTTACTGTGATTGATACTGGCCTCCCCACTAAGTACATCCATAACTGTCTAATCTAGAAACCACTCAGTACAACAGCCAATTTTGTTTAAAATTAATCATACATTTCTCAAAACTGTAGATTTTTTCCAGTACATCCCCTTCAACATTTACCTTAAGGCTGAAGACAAACAGGACGTTTTAAGTACAAAATTAACATCGCAACAACAGGAACTCATAAGGAGTAATAAATGTAGTGGGCTTTTCATTATCTGTGGCAGCTCAGCAGCTGGAGCAAACGTGCTGCTAAAGGTGCTGAAGAGCAAGCTGCACCTGACAGCTTGGTGCTGAACCAGCCTTAATCCCTGCAAAAGTAATTAGTGCCTTCACAAGCAACAATCTCCAGTATTCCAGGTGAGCTGAGCCTAAGTATTTTGCTGAGCTGGTGAAGCCTGCTGGAACTTGGTGCTCCAGCTCCAGAGCCAGGCTGGTCCTCCTCAGCCTGCGTGCTCCCTGTGCTCTCTCTGGTGCTGCTCAGCAAATGGTGCAGTAACAAGTCTGGGAACACAGGCTCTAACCTGGTGGCTCACAAGGTATGAAGGTGGCTAAGCAATTCCTGTTCCTACGCAGGAAGCAGGACAGCTGTTCTGGAAAGCTCAACCAGGACTAAGCTGATATTCCAGTATCCAGATACGTCAGTATCTGTGGTAAGCTCACTCCTCAGTTTGGATAAATCAGTTTGGGACAACTAAGAGTCAACAATAATTTGCTTTACTTCACACATATTTTTTATGTTCTGTTGGCTTCAATTCAACTTTTCTTTGAGCTTATCTACTCTCCAGGAAACTTCACGTTTAAGACAGTTCTGTATCCTCTAGCTAAAAAAAACCCACAAACAAACCTGGAGTTTCTCTTTGGTTTCATACATTCTTAGAAGATCCTGATTTCTGTGTCTGTACTCCCAGTAATCCCATCCCTACAGGTACCTCTGATTTTCCAAGCCATGTAACTTTGTTCGTCATCATTAGTTTCCCTTGAAGCTTCCGTTTTGAGCCTCACCTCCACACTCTCATCTCTTGCTTGACATTTGTACAGCACAACATTATCGTTCCTACATTTTTCACACTCTTCTCGTTACACAGATCAACACGTACCTGATTAAACGGGGGACGAGGCCCATCGCCCAACAGAGGCGTTTTCTGCTGCTGGAAAGGCAGAGGGCCCTGGGAAGGATGCGGCCCCCTCGAAGGGTTTGGTTGTCCTTGAGGTCCTTGCATGTTTCCTTGCGGCCCTACCAAAGAGCCTTGCGGAGGTCCCTGCTGGCCTTGCGGCCCGCGCATTTCTTGCGGCGGTCCTAACATTGCGCCTTGAGGCGGGGGTCCCTGCAGCCCCCTCATCTCCTGGGGCCCGTGTCCTAGCAAACCACTTTGCATATGAGGACCTCTCATCTCTTGCGGATGACCCATCATCATCCCTTGTGGAGTAGGTCCCTGGTTATCTCGGGGCCCTGGCGGACCCTGCATCCCTCTTGGATTAAGTCCCATCAAAGGCCCTTGGGAGATAGGACCTTGCATCCCTTGAGATCCCGGAGCTCCTTGCATGCCGTGAGGAAGAGGTCCTTGCATCCCTCGGGGACCAGGTGGCCCTTGCATTCCTTGACCCTGAGGTCCCAAGTTACCCTGCGGGCCAGGCGGACCCTGTGGCCCCAAATGAGTCTGAGAGCCAGGCAGGCCCTGCGGTCCTAAGTGCCCTTGTGGACCAGCGTTACCCTGCGGGCCTGGAGGCCCCATTGGCCCGTGAGGGCCAGGATGCCTTTGCATTCCTTGATGTCCATGTAAATCCTGAGGCCGTGGCATTCCTTGAGGTCCGTGGGGGCCCGGAGGTCCTTGTGGTCCCATGAAGCCTTGCGGACCTCCACCTCCTTGGTGTAATGGAGGACCCTGAGGTCCCATCTGTCCTTGGGGTCCCGGAGGTCTGAACTGTCCTTGTGGACCAGGAGGTCCCATCTGAGGCATATTCATTGGCATCTGCTGTGGCGGAAGGGGCTGCTGAAACCCTTGAGGCATCTGTGACATTGGGCCTTGCCCTGGAAAAGGCTGGGGTCCATGAAGAGAGCCTCCTGGAGGTGGCTGCACTTGCTCAGCTTGTTTTTGTGCAAGTCTCTCAATCTTCAGTTGCTGTAATAGATAAATAAATAAATAAATAGATAGATAGATAAACAGATAAACAGATAAATAGATAAATAAATAAGAGAAACCCAGCAAATCAACTAAACACAGAAAAATATGAAAAAACTGAAGATCAGAAGCTACTGTCTCGTTCTTAGGAGTTTGAAAAGAGTTAGCACTTTTCTCTTAATCAACAGAAACACAACTACACATATATATAAGTGGGTCTGACCAACTGAAATGTGGAGACCTTGGTGCAGCTGCCTTCATGCATCGAGTCTTATTCTTATTAAACTACATTTTTTGAGAAAAGGTGAAAAGTGTACTGCAAAAGCAAGCTACACATTTTGGCGCTGAGCTCCAGCAACTGGCTTTACACACATACCTCCAGGAGTTGTGGGTTTGTGTACTGAAGTGCTGCCATTTCCTGCTCAATCTCTGCCTGTGTCTTCTTTTTCTCCTCTAGCTTAATGTCTTCCTTTCTGTCGATCAATGGCTCAGGTGGGGGAGGCAAAGGAACTTTATTCTGCATCCACGCCTATAAAGGATAGTAGATATAAAATTAATTCTAAGAAACACCACATGTGTAATAATAAATCACTGACTGGGACAAGATATACTGGAATGATGAATAACGAGGGAGGGGATTGTCCCACTCTGCTCTGTGTGGTCTCACCTTGAATACTGTGTACAGGTTTGGGCACCACAGTACAAAAGAGGCATAGAACTATTAGAGAGTGTCCAAAGGAGGGCTATAAAGATGGTGAATGGTCTGGAGAAGATGTTATGAGAAGCGGTTGATGTCCCTTGGCTTGCTGGAGTACAAAAAGCATCTGGAGATTGCTCTCAGATGTATGCTCTGATTTTTGGGTGGTCTTCTGTTGAGCCAGGAGTTGGTCCCTTCCAACTCAGGATATTCTATAATTCTAACTTGGATAATCAGAAGCTAAAAACTAGGTTGAACAGAACATCCAGGTGTTGTAGCATCCTAGTTTCAAGGTATGTGTATGGGATATAAGGGATTTAACCAAGTATCTAATGCATAAATGGTAATTTAATTACCGTGGTAAGTTATTTTGCACTGATGTTGGACATGATATTGGAAATCCAACAGAACAAGTTTGTTTTTGGTGTTCAAAACTGCAAAGCTGTTTATCAGCTGCTTACCTGCTGAAACTGTGCTGGTATTGGTTTTGCATAGGGCACTTTTTTCTGTGGCACTTTCTTTTGGTCCTTTTGCATTACTTCCTCCATTCCCCAGTCTAGTCCTGGGATTGTCATTTCAATGTCATTGGACTCATCTTTCCCTTTAA